AGCACACTGGAAATTTGGCCTGTCCCACAGGATCTCACTTGTCGGAGACTGCAATGAGGCTAAAGGTGGACACTGGGACCTGGAGACTTCTGAAACAAACCACTCAGCTCTCGGCTCAGGAAACTAAACACTGTGCTCAGAAACAAGGTTGACAGTTATGTTCACAGGGGTCACAAGAAGGTCCACTAATTTGTGTTAATGTTGCAGTTGAATTACAGATAGGAAGAGTGGACAATTCCTGTTCAAAAATGGAAAGAAATGAATGAATACAAAGCAAGTTCGCATGCACATCCTACTGCATTCTGCTTCAGAGTGCTGTTCTCCAACTGAACCTGTCGGTGCACTGTTGTCTGGCTGGCTCAGACTCAGCCGTCAGATGCCGAGCATCTGGTTTCCACAGCCCTTCTCCCTTGCAGCATTTGGACCACTTCTGAAATGAAGTCCTGCCATTGTAAAAACCAATGCTGTGGCCAGTAATTCCACCAGACTGCTCTGGAGCTGCTACTGGAGTACCTCCTAGGTGGGCTGTGCCTGGCTAATGTACCAGGGGTGTTCTGAGAGGCACCTGCCAGCCCCTGCTTGGCAGACAGGTTTCTCATGCCTGCCTGTGCCAGGACACTGCCTTAACACACCACCTGATCTGTTGGACATGTGGTCTAATTCCCACTGAAGAGTTAGAAGCCAAGTCTGACTAGACAGTGCCTCGGGCAACAGATACCCACCCACAGATACCAAAGCTAGTAGCCAGGTGATGAATCTTGTGACACTCTGTTCCCCGTGTTTTAGCTGTGTACATGCCATGTCCTTTGAGCTTGTGAACCACACCTTGGCATAGCCACATGGAGCCAGAGTTTTGACAAGAAAGCCCCATTAGCAAAAACCCCGTTCCTGTGCTTAGATGACACAGTGGCTACATTTCATAGTTGAGCACCCACCTGTTCTTGTCATTGTTGTACAATAGAATGTAAAACCCTATGAATGTATTTCCTTAGGAAAACTGTTGTAAAAATATTTTTATTAGGAGAGAATATTTATTTAATACTGAACTTTGACCTACTTTGTGTTACTACAAAGTATACAAATTTAGGAAATTTGTATTTCCACATCTGTATTTTCTTGAAAATAATTTTATTACAGTGTTCAATATACTTATGTATTACTGATCTTTTTGTGAAAGAAAATTTACAGAATTTCATAAAAACTAGAAATATATTTTGAGTGGTTAAAAATTGTGTATTAATGTTGTGAACATAATCATAGTTGAACTTTGTTTAATTCTGATTACAGAATGATGTGCCTTAAAATGCCCCTCCTCTGCACTGGGCATCATCTGTACAGGGAACATCAGCACAACCATAGTGACTGCTTGTCTAAGTCTATTAAAAACATTCCAAGGCTTTCTTGGTGCAAACTTTGTTTATAAATGAAAAACTATTTCCAGGATAATTTATACAGTAAAATTAATATCAACGGGTGGTATTTCTAAGGCCACCCTATTAGACGTGGGAAGCTGTTGACACATATGAGAAGTCTCTAATTTAGCATCTCTCATATATTAACAGACCAGAGACTTCCTGTGGCTGAATGGGCAGTGGATGGCTAAAGCAGTACCCACCATGGCCAAGAGGTGGCTGAGATGCTAGAGAATCAAAGTGGGTGATTGGGAAGGAATACTGAGAAAGGGCACCACGCCTCGTGGCCAAGAAGGGTCTCTGTGAGTTGACACAAGATAGTCAGGGCAGAGATGTATAGTGGGTCCTGTTAAACGTGAGGCCTAGAGGTCCTGCAACACATTTTTATTTTAATTTTAAAATATAATTTAAAATTTGCATACAGAAGATCATTCATCCAGTAGCTGATGGAGGTAGAAGCGGAGATTCACAGCTAAGTACTGAGCTGAACTCCTGAAATACAGCAGTAGAGAAGGAGGAATGATGAGCAAAAGGGTCAAGACCATGTTGGGGAACAGAAACAGTTGACCTGGGCAAATGGAAGCTCACGGACTCCAGACTGACAGCTGGGGAACATGCATAAGACTGAACCAGGCCCCTTTGAATGTGGGTGTCAGTTGGGGGGCCTGGGCAGTCAGTCTGTGGGGCCCGTTGGCAGTAGAACCAGTGTTTATCCCTAGTGCATGAATGGGTTTTGGGAGCCCACTCCCTATGGAGGGATACTCTCTCAGACTAGATACATGGGGGAGGGCCTAGGTCCTGTCTCAAATGACGTGACAGACTGTAATGATTCCCCCATGGGAGGCCTCACCCTCCCTGAGGATTGGATGGGGGGTGGGATGGGGGGATGGTGGGGGTGTAGGAAGACAGGAGGGAGAGGGAACTAGGGTTGGTATGTAAAATAAGTCTTTTTAATTTTAATAAGAATTGATTTTTAAAAATGCATACAGAATCCCTAGGTATTGGCTATTTACAAGAGGAGTCTCAACTGTTTTTAGTCATCGCCAGTGGATATAACGGGTAAACTAGCAAAGAACACAGACAGGGTAACTTACAAAGTCTGTTTCATGCCATGGGGCTGGGGAAGGACTCAACTTGGTTTTAAGAGCGGGTGGCATCTCCAGTCAAGTACTTTACTATTCTCATGTGACTTCATAACACCTTGATATACATCCCACTTATAAAGATTCTACTTCTAACCCCAAGCTGATTCGAGGTTCTAAGGTTAAGACCTCGATTGTTCTTTTTAGGGGTCACAATTCATTCCACTGAAGAAAGGAAGTGAGCCAAGGTGGCTCTGCTTGTCCAGTTTTTCCTGCACTCCAGATTAAAGGCCTGCTGAGGAGTCCTGGGTCTGGCAACTTGCACCCAAGTGCCCAGGGCACCCATCTTTCCTTCTTTTGAGGGCCTCACCTATCACCTGAGCCGAGCATCAACAGATATGAGGAAAGGAAGGTGAGACAGCATCTGGTAGCTGATTCTCCATCTCACTGGTGGCCCAGCATGACCCAGGCCATCTCACTAAATAAACCCACTAAATAAAGTTAATGTGGCAGTTCAAGCACGAATGGCCTCCATAGGTTCATATATTTGAATGCTTAGTCACCAGGGAGTAAAACTATTTGAAAGGATCAGGAGGTGTGGCCTGGTTGGAAGAAGGATATCATGGGGTAGGAGTGGGCTTTGAAGTTTCAAAAGCCCAGTTTTTCTTTCTGCCTAGAAATCAGGATACAGCTCTCAGCCACTGAGAGCACTGACTGCTCCCCACCATGATAATATAATGGGCCAAACCTCTGAAACTGTAAGCAAGCCCCCATTTACATGTTTTATTTTATAATAGTTGCAAAGAATCAGGGACTATTGACAGTCAACAATCAAGAGACTTTGCTAATTTGGAAGACATCCTTTCATTTCATGGAGGATAAAACCAAGACCTGGTGAGTGTTCCCTCTCAAAATACTTCCCTGTCTGGCAGATGGCAGGAAGCAGACATGAACTTTGGTATATGTAGCCACCACCCACTCACTGGAATAGCCTATCCAATCCTGTACATAGGTGTTCTCTTGGTCCCCGCCTTCTCCTGGTGTCATAGTGGACACGGTCTACCCACTGGCACACAGCCTGGCACCATCTCTTAGCTTCTAGCGATCCCTATCCTGTCTCTATGCTCCGACTACCCACTGCTTAGGAACAAGATTTCCTCTGTCCTCGGTTGACTCCAGGGCCAGACAGACAAATGGGCTTAACCACATGGGCATGCAGTGGTCATCTTAATGTCTGTCTAACCTAGACACTGAGCAGCCCCAGCAGCCTGCAGTAAGAAATGTCACTGAAGGGTCATTGCTATTAGTCAATACTTCTCAGTACACATTTAATGAATGCTGCCCAGCTGTCATTTACACTAAGCAGATTGTTGGGCGGGCACTAAATCTACACTAGCCAGATCCTCTAGGAAATCCAAGTCTCTGAGTCCCAGAGGAATTCTTACTTAGTTTCATATAGAAAAAGGGTTATTTGTGATTTTTTATACCTTGTAAGAATGTAATGAAAGCAAAATATTAATACTGCCACCAAAAGTAGAAAGAAAATACAGCATTAGTCCACACATTCAAGGATGGCCCAGTGGTATAAGGTCCAGGAGATAGGCCCTACTGGCCTTCTACCACTTTTTAATTTAGGTAGTCCCTGGAGCTCTGGAACAAAGAAGAGAGGACAACCATCTGTGTACATGGAGAGCAGTGGAATTTAGGTAGTCCCTGAAGCTCTGGAACAAGGAGGAGAGGACAACGATCTATGTACACAGAGAGCTGTGGACAAGGGAACCCCAGTATTACCTCTCCTTCAGGTAAGCAGACCACCTTCTGTGGACCATGTTCACAAGATATGGGGCCCACCATTTATTCTGAATATAATCCTATTAATTAGCTTAATGTGCAAAATAATGGCATCACTGGTTGGCTAAATTAGGGAAAGAATTGCAGAAACCTTGGATCAAATAAGCAAGCTATATAAATCTTAACACATATTTTAAATATTCATTTTTACACATACTTTGACCAAAATTTTTACTTGTGACAATTCTCATCCTCCTGGTATAACTGACCCAGATGGCATTCAACCCATAGGAGGTTGTGCTTACCTGGGTGGGGTTCACTGGTTCAGCATGATAGATTTTTGTCCCCCCTACCCCTGCCAAGATGATCTAGGGACAGCCAGAAAGGCAGAAAGGCCAGGGTAGAAATTGGCCCCAGAGACTGCTGAGGACTACTCATAGGTCAGCTGAGACCTGATGACCTGTAGCTTCTGGACATGGCAGCATCACAACTAGTCAGAACAACCTACAACTAGGGATAAGAAGCTCCCTTCTTTCCTTTCCTTTGAGTGGCAGAGGTTCAAAGTGTGTCAACTAAGCAGAGCAAGTCCTCAGCAGGGAGGAACAAGTGACGTTTCCCCACACATCTTTTCACAATGACAAGTGACCAAGAGGTATTCCGAGAACCATATGATACCACAGAAGACAGGCACATGAAACTGACATATGGAGCACCCAGGAGGGCTTTTGTTTTAATACATTGGCTTCTTAGGGTGGCAACAGGAAGCCACACATGAAGACATGAGAGGCAGCAGAAGGCAGGGCTACTTAAGGAGTTTTGCCACATTCAGACTTGGCACAACGATCTCCCTGAAGATGGGCACGTAGTTGGGGCTTGCTTGCATGGGGCCCTGCTCCAGCGTCTCCATGATGGTCTGTTTCATGTCCCGGCTGGCATCTCCTCGCACCGCCAACAGGGCACCAATGTGGTCATCTCTGTGGGGAGAAACCCACGGCCTGAGCTTCCATCTTCTTTCTCCCCAGTCTGCACAGGTCACACCCACAGGGTGGGACACTGACAATCACAAAGGGCACCTCTTCTTTTACAGAAGACAGATACCCAAAATTTCATCTTACTTTCTCTATGAAAAATGCAAAGGACTTTTTAAACTCTCCTCTTCTAACTATTGATGTCAAGAACGCATAACCAGGGAAGGGAGACCATGGAGGGTTTAGAACTCTAGCTCTTTTAACAGAGGCAATGACACAACTTAGCCATGCTCACCCTTAAAGGAAGTGGCAAGTTCCTGGAATGGAGCTCACAAAGGCAGGGCCTGGGCCTGAAGCTAGCACAGCAGGTAGAGGGACATGGAGCAGACACCCCTTCCCTCTGCCTGAGACTGAGTACACACATTCAAGGAAGTCCTGGCCATATACGACACATCAGCTTCCTTTTTTTAGATCATGGATTAAGATCCCTTTCAGACCACTTCAGTGATTACAACCTTCCCCACTCCACTCATCAAAGATTCAATACTCAATCCTTCCTGTGGAGGTTGGAAAGAAAAAGGCCCATAGGGAGCGGCACTACTGGGAGGTGTGGCCTTGTTGGAGTAGGTGTGGCCTCACTGGAGGAAGTGTGTCACTGTGGGAGTGGGCTTTGAGGTTTCCTATGCTCAAGCTACACCACCCAGTAATACAGTTGCTTCTGCTATGTGTAGATCAAGATATAGAACTCCTAGCTCCTTCCCCAGTACCATGTCTGCCTGCACGCCACGCCACCATGTCTCACCATCATAATGGACTAAATCTCTGAAACTTAAACTAGCCCCAATTAAATGTTTTCCTTTTAGTAAGAGTTCTGTAGCCATGGTGTCTCTTCACAGCAATAAAATGCTAACTAAGACACTTCCCAATACCATCTACTTTTTACAGTTAGGCTTACCTTCTGACTACCACTCACTCAGGTACAAATGCTTGGCTACAAGGCAGATGTACAAACCTCAGCCAGATTCTGCTAACATGAGGTAAGGCTGATGGAAGGCTGCACATAAATGACTCCTTGTTGTACCCTCACCACCACAGTCCTGACAACCTTATCCTTCACACCGTCTAACTCCAGATGCTCATAGCTTGTCTTCCTGGGGATAGCAGGAGTACTCTGTTGAACTACTTGCTGATGGAAGGTGCCCAGCATTTACCTGATATCTGGATATTTGCTGACCAGAGTTGAGACTTCTAGGTAAAGCAGAGAGGGGTCTGTGAGCTTAATAACCTCTGCCACTGCAACAATTGTATCACAGTGTCCATCTGCATCTTCACCAAATCCCTGGAAAATAGCAGCAGAGTGAGGGACAGCCGCAAACTCAATCTTGCACAGTAGTCCCAACTTGATGTTGACATCTTTTCAGGCTGGGCACCTTGCTCTTCCATGTAAACACCCCAAGATTCTCTCTGACTACGGATCAGGGGCCAATTTCACAAGGTGATTTGGTTAGTCACTATTTGGTCTCTAGCCAGGAAATGGGCCTGGTGGATTAGTACCTGGTCCCAGCCACTTGAGTCAAGGAGTTAGGCAACCAGAAACTTAGGGAACAAACAGGTCAGGGCAGAGAGACAGGAAGAGATGAAGTACACATGGGCTGCCACCAGAAAAGTCTTGAGTGTTGCCTTGATGTGTCAGCCTCTGTGGAAATTTATCAATTATGAGGCTGGGAAGGCTCTGGACAAAACCTTCTCTTGACAGACACAACTAACTGGCCACTGGTTCCTGATGTTGCTGAATCCCATAAACTTGACTCAACAGTTCAGGCATAGAAACCAAAAGCAAACTACAGGACAACACAACTCTGTAGCCTGACATCCACCATCCTGGAGCTTAGCCCATGGCTTCAATACTCACAGATGCCAGCTTCCGGAACAGGAAGCGGAGCTGTTCAGCCTCTCTGACCATCTTCTCAGCACCCTCCTTGCGCTCTTCAGCACTTCGAAAGGAAATGCGCTTCTGCATGACAGCCCGCAGGTATTCTACCACCACACGCCTGTGTGCCTCAGCCGTCATCCTCTGCGAAGAAACATGTGCTAACACACACAGATGTTCTCATCACACCTATAAGATGGCCTGCAAACAGGCTGGTACACATCCTTCTTATCCAACAACTTAGTTGGATTTTTCTTTTTCCTATTAAGACCTTCTTCAGCTATATAGTCCAGGCTAGCCTCAAATTCACAATAATCCTCCTGTCTCATGCTCCAGAGTACCACACCTGGCTATATATTTGATGGAATTTTAGAGTAAGTATGTAAAGCCAATTAAGCATACCTGAATTTCACCATAAGGTTTTGGATTCTCCTGGCTGCACATGGTGACAGGAGCTATGATTGGCCAACTATCAACACAGCATGTACACAGATGTGGGGTATTTGTACGCTGTGTGAAGATACACTGCTGTGATCGATTTAACAAAGAGATGAATAGCCAGTAGTTGGACAGGAAGGGATTAGGCAGGACTTCCAGGGACAGAGAGGACTCTGGGAAGAAGAGAGTCAGAGAAGCCAGCCAGACACAGAATGAGTCAGACACACAGAATGCGACAGAGGTAAAAGCCACAGGGTAGAACGTAGATTAATAAAAATACAGGTTAATTTAAGTTAGAAATAGCCTAGGCTATAGGTTGAGCTTTTATAATTAATAAGTTTCCATGTCATTGTTTGGGAGCTGGCTGGTGGGACAGAGACTCATTAAACATGAGTTAGAAAGGACTCACACATGGCCTGTGTAGCATTTATGCTTATAATCCATCTAAAAATCAGATGGATTTAAATCCCTGGGAGAACTTGCTTCCAGCACCATTTTTCTAGTGGCACCATGTCATGTATAAATGGACTTCAGTGACCCTTGTTAACAGACACCACGCCAGCACTTGTTGATGTGTGCCCTAGACTCCTTTGGAGGCTCCAACTCTGCCTGTCCCAGAGGCTCTCAACCCAATACAGAGTGGAACTGGAACTGGGGAACTAACTGCCTGAGTCAAACAAAATTTGGCTTCATGGACTGACAGGCTAGCTTAGCAGGAGGAGCTTAGCTCAGATGGAGCCCCAACAGCAGTACCTCATTCATAGGCAGCCTCTGATTAGTGCAAAAAACCAAAACACAGCCTGCACCCTTTGATAAAACAAAACAACCACAGGCCAATATCTTACAAATCTTCAGGAAAGGCTCAAATGAGAAAAGAAATCTCTAGAGCATTACAAAGCAAAAGAAAAGTCTAGAACCAACATGGGTAGAAGTACAGGAAAGCTGGCTTGTTGAGAGATCAGACTCCCTACACAGAGGTAATGGAACCTTACTGAAGGAGATACTTAAATCAGTCAGATCCCTTAATTGTACAACCACTGATGTGATGGCTGGTGACTTGTAGCTTCTGTACTGGAGTCTGCTCCCCATCAGTGGGATGGGCTATTGTACCTATTCCAAAATTCCATTAGGCCCATGGGCATGCTAACACACTGGAGAAGAGTCCCGCAAGTCTCCAAGGAAAACAAAGCAACACACATCATTAACTAAATCAAGCTGTAAGGAGGCTGAGACTGGAGCCAAGACATGTCTGGGAAGTGCATATCATTTCCCCAAATAATAGCCTCTTTCCTTAAGATCTATCATCTGCACATAAAATAAAAATCAGAGGTCATAATACCAAGAGGTAAAGCTGGCTTACAAAGACAACAAGCTCTGACATGGGGAGAAACCAACATGCCCAAAGACTTTGGGCCAGGACTGTCAGACGCCTCTATGTTCCTTAAAAGAATATTCCAGTCTTCACCCAAGCCCATCGCCTCACCTTCTTTAGATCACATCAACATTGGCATGTTATCATAAGCAGAGAGCTATTTTGACACTGAATTATTACCAGCTGGGAGATAGGCTCCAGTATACTATAACACATTTGTTTACCTTTTTATATGGCTTTTTGATTTTGGCAAAGTCATTGAAGTAGTCTTCTACAGTGACACAGATGATGTCCACAGCATTGGACCCTAACAGCCACTTCTTTGTCATCAGCTCATTCAGATGTTGCTGAAAGGCACAAAGTGATCATGTAAATCTTCATCTGGCACAATGCCTGGGATTGCCCCTACCTGAGAGTGGGCATTCCCTGGTGTCACAGAGATTTTGTGTAGTGGCAGTAATATGCTCAGGTTAAAAAAAAAAAAAAAAATCTTACTTTTACATAATCTGCAAATTTATACCTTACATTTATGAGATTTGTATTATATATATAAGCTTTGTAAAAAAGCATCACAAATAACAGGTTAGATATGCAAATATTGGTTTTTATACTTAATAGACATACATTATATAGATATGTCATAATTTATCTACCCAATTCTCAGATATACATCCCTATACTTTTCACATTTTGTGATTACAAATAATGCTGTAGTGGATTTGTATTTTGCAGGTGAAATTTCTTTAGGTGGAATTCCTAAGTCAAAAAGTATACAAATTAAAACTCTAATAAGTATATCCAAACTGCCCTTGAAAAACTGCAGAGTCAGCACTACCGAGCATTGTGTGTTCTCAATCCTTGGCTCCCAGCTAAGGAACAGCTTACACTAAGTCTCAGTATGTTTCTTTGGTGACAGCAGATGGATGACTGGCTCATGTTTAGATGCTGGTAATACTTTTTCTGTGCAGAGGTTATTTGTACCCTTTGTCTATTTTGTATCATGTCTCCTCTTTTCTCAACTGCTGTGTGTGCCCTACAGAGCCCAGAGGAGGGTGTTGGTGTCCTGTTTTATCACTTTCCACCTTATTTCCTTGAGACACGCTATCTCACTGAACCTGGAGCTCACCATTTGGCTAAACTGGCTGGCCAGTAAGCCCCAGTTGTCCTCCTTTCTCTGCTCCTCCTAGCTCTGGGGTTATAGGCATTCATAGGTGCTGGGGATCTGAATTCAATGGGGCATAATTAAAAAGAAAAAAAAGAGAGAGATTCCTTTGCAGCAAGACCCACAAATGGCTATAGTTTTACTTTTTAATATATGCTGATTCCTGCCAAAGCAATCAAGGAGCTGGTATCTATGTTCCAAAGTGGCCCTATTTGATTATGGTGCATTATGCTTTTGATACGAATGAAAATTGTTTTGTAAGTTTTGGGTGTGTTGTATGTTGGAATTTTACTCTATAGTGAGGTTGATTTATGTGACCTGTGCACTTTCAGCTGGGTTTTGTTATAGGTTTCTACATACTTATCAGGTAACGTGCTACTTAGTTTGATACCTAATATTTCCTGGCAGTCTTTATCCAAATTTGCCTAGAAAGGGTCCTAATTCACACAAGGAAGTCAGTGGCCCTCTGTACAGATGCAAGGGAACTTCTCAGCTCACGTATACCTTCTACATGAGGCAGGTGACAATACAGCACAAAGAAGAGAATGAGCCCACTCCATGCAAGGTGGAAAAACCAAGCCCACCTCTAGATCCAGGAAGACTTCCTCTAGCAGACTACTGCAGCCCTCCTTAGCAATGGCATCTAGAATCCCATCCATGCTTGACTGACTCAGACATGGGCCCTCCTCTTCAGGTTTTAGGTATTTCCTTTTCAGACTGACGATGGATTCTCTGCAAGGAAACATCAAGGGCTCAGGAAAGCAGCTCCATGCTTGCATGATTTCTGCTGTACCACCCACCACTCACTTGAAGGTCTGGCAGTTGTTGATGATGGCAATCATGTATTGCACATAACAGTGTGGGTGTTGCCGGTTTCTCAGGTGCTCTTCCTTGTAAAGCTGGGCTTCATCTTTGTATCTGAAATCACACAGGGGAACCCTAAGCTGTCTCCAGTGACAGGTAGACATCATGCGTGTCAGGGGGACTCAGATCACCACTTTTGGACCTGGGGAGTCTTTAAAACCCAACATACTTTTAAATAGTCCATATTAAAGGTAGAATAGAGAGTCAATCATGTTGAATGAATTTTAAGAACAATTTTGTAGCAGGCTTTGAAACACAGTTTGGTATTCTGACATGAAGACTCTCTGAAACAAGTAACTGTAACCAGGAAAGTATCACCTTATTTTATCTCATGAACAATTCATTACACAATTTATATAACAGGGTAAGAAGGTGACTCAGTAAGTAAAGGTACTTGCCACAAAAGCCTGCCCACCTGAGGTAGATCCCTGGAACTCACATAATGGTAGGAGAGAACCAAATCCACAAAGCTGTCCTCTGACTTTCACACGTATACCATGGCACAATGCCCCACTCCATTCCTCCACAAAACCCTCAACAGTGTGAGAAACATTATCATACATCTGATAAGACATCCCTTTTCAAAACTCTATATGGAAATGAAACAAAAAATAACCAGATTCCTGAACTATCTGAAAAAAACAAAAAACACCCAGGATGCCACTCTTTCCTTTTTAAAGGAGATTGTTGAATACACACTGAAATAAAGTAGTACCTCAGTAAATGTTCTATATATTTTTTTTATTTATTAACCTAAAACTGTTTATTAAAGAGGAAGATCTACACATTTATTCTGATTTTGTCTGTCTCTGATTCCAGATCAACCAAGCAAAAATCCTCTTCATAGAAGATCCCACCTCAAAAATGAAGTCACTAACTTGGAAGTGACCTTGATAAGTGACAGCCTTGGAATACTTGGGCAATGACCCCATAAATTGGCTGAGGAGCTTAGATATAACTCTGGGTGGAATGTGGAGATCAGGTGTGACCCTGTGAGTAGACTAGAGGAATCAAATCATGACCCCATAGGTGGATAGCAGATGGGGTTCTAAGGAAGAGACTGAGTTGTCAGAGGTGGACAGACATATAACACTAAGCAGCAATGTTGAAGACGTGCCGCTATGTAAACAGAGCCAGGCTCTGGAGTGGCTCCTGGTGAACAGGGAGATGGGCAGCCCTCATGTCCCAGAGGCCTAGAGAACTAGAGCACAGTGACACAAGCCTGTCAACCTAACAGTTGAGACTAAGAACTCTTAATACAAGATGTCAGATACCCACTGCATAATTGATGCTGTTGTGCTTATAGCAGATAATCTGACACATGGATAGCAACATCTGGGAATTGGAGTGGTAGAGGGAGTCACAAAAAGGGACAATGTGATACGAGAACAGGCCACATGAGGGTGACTTAGAAGAACTTGGACCATTATGATGGGAGAACAGGTTTCATGGTATTCTGACTAGGCTTGAAAATCTTCATGTGAACAATTCACAGGGCAAGACCCATTGTGACACAGTATGTTACACATCCCATCTGTTTAGGGTATCTTCATTTTAGCAATCTTTTCTTTTTCTTCTTCTCTTTAATATTTTTGCATTTTTAAACAATGAAAGGGGGCTAATCTTTAAATAACAGCATACTAGAATAAAAAAAACTTTGTTCTTAATTTTAAAACACATAATATATAAGTTAGATCAGTGGCAAAAAATACATACCTACTTAGGAAAGAATTCATTTGCTGAAGACACAAAATCAGTACCTTTGTTTTCAAATCTTCACTTATTTGAGCAGCAACTTGAAGATTCTGTTCAAACATCTAAAAATTGAAACCCTTAAGAATCTGAAATGGTCTTACAAGAGTATAGAAAAATGTTCCCCATTAATAAAATTCTACCCAGGACATCCTCCTCTGGTGAATCTGCCTGACTCTTTCTGCTCGACACCCTGACAACCTGCTAAATCTATCCTGGATCCCTCATCCAGTGCCCTGGGCTAGTCTAGCCACCCCTACTTCACCTCGACCAACCTCTAGGCTTCTCCTAGGACCCACCCTCCTATTCCTGACCCACAGGCTTCTACCATACCACATCCAGCCTTTCCACTTAGCCAGATCTACTCCCACACTCCAGGCTTAGAACAAGATACACACCCTTCACACCAGCCCAGTCTCCTTTGCCTACCTGTTTCATTCCTACCAAGCAATTTCCAACCTCTGGGTCCAAGCAGCCTGCATATTCTCTCTTCTGTTCCTCCAACCTGCTTTGTCATATCAGACACAAAACTAACAAAGAAGTCCATATGCCCATAACTCCTCACAAAAATACAAACAATAAGAAAGATCAAGCCTTTATCTCTCTGCCAAAACCTACTAAACCTTATAAATATGTGTGTCAATAAGAATTACCTGGATGTACCTCAGGAATCAGAATTCAAAAAGAACACATAAAATTAATCAAAGAATTCAAGGAATTTAAAGAAAACACAAAGAAGCAGCTAAGTGAAATTAAGGAAAAATAATTTACACCTGAATAATGCCCAGGAAAGTACAAATATAAGGCTGATGGAGATACTGAAGACAATACAGGACTTGAAAAAAAGAATTCAATAAAAAGTTAAAAATGAACAGGGAAACACTACAATACACACCAAAGAAATTCAGGGTATTATAAGGGAATACTTTAAAAACCAGTACTCCATTAAGTTGGAAAACCTAAAACAAAACAAAAAACCAGATAAATTTCTAGATTTAAGAAATCACCGAAATTAAACCAAGAAGTTAACAACCCAAATAGACTCATAACAAATGAGGATATTGAAATAGTAATAAAAAGTCTTCCAGAAAAAAAAAATGCCAGGTGGAGTCACAGAATTATACCAGAGACACAGAGAGAGACCAACACAAAGAGACAAACACTGAGACACAGAAAGACAGACAGACACACACACACACACAGAGAAAGAGAGAGAAAGAGAGAGAGAGAGAGAGAGAGAGAGAGAGAAATAGAATTCCTTCTATCAAGCCAGTATCACTCTAAGACAAAACCAGGAAATGACCAAAAAACAAAAAAACCAACAAAACAAAAAAAAAAAAAAAAAAAAACCCCTAAAGACCAATATATTTGATGAACACAGATTCAAAATGCTCAACAAAATACTTCAAGAAACCACATTAAAAAGCCTTTGAAAAAATCCAACATGCCTTCATGATAAAAGTCTTAAAGAATGGGGGCTAGAGGAAACATAGTTCAGCATAATAAAAGCTACATATGAGAAACCCACAGCAAACGCCATCCTAAATACAGAAAAAACTGAAGCAATGCCACTCAAGTGGGGAATGAAAAAGGGCTGCCCATTATTCCCACTTCATTTCTTTTTCCATAGTGTGCTTGAAGCAGTAGCTAGAGTAATAAGATGAGAGAAAAAAATAAAAATAAGGAAAGGAGTTAAACTATCCCTGTTTACAGATGACATGGCAATATACATGATCCAAAAATTCTACTAGAAGATGTCTACAAACAATAAATTCAGCATGTGGCAAGATACAGAATCAACTTGAACAAATCAAGATCTTTTCTATATACCAACATAGCATACAAAGACATATCCCCATTCACAATAGCCTCCAAAAAGATAAATATCTAGGAATAACCCTAACAATGAAAATGAAAGACCTCTCAGTGTGACAAGAGGGCCGACAAAGAGGCGAGGCTCTGAGGATGGCTGTGCTAGTTACATGTGAAGGGACTCTAACAGGCCCGAACGTGGCAAGCATGGCTCTAGCAGATCTTGCTTTCTCCCCCTTTCCCTCTGCCTTACTAAAAACTGCTTTTATATTCCTAAAGCTGCCACCAAGGTCTATTCCCTTATTTGGCCACTTCCTCCTGCTGAGGCTGACTACCAAAGTCCAGCTATCCAAGTATTGATAGTCTAGCAATCAAAAGCCCCCTAGTGGCTGCCCAAAATAACCTGTCCAATCAAAAATTAAACACCTCATCCTAACATGGGAGTGGGGAGGGGGGTGTGATGGCGGTGGGGAGCAGGGGGTGTGTGTGGGGTGTGGAGGATGTTCCCCCTATTACTTTTATAAACTTACCCACGCCACATTTGTCTCTTCTCTATGCAGAGGTAGTCCTTTGTCCCCCTGGAACAAACACTCCTCCCCCTCCCTTGTTCCCATCCCCCTTTCCCTGGTCCTTTATCTCCTGCCTTTGTCTCTTATTCCACGCCCCTTGTCTCTCTGGGGAAAACAAATTTTCTTTGTGCCAAGACCTTAGTCTTTGGGTGTCTTAGGCCAATACAGGCCCCTTCAATGCATACATGGACCCAATATCCAGCACAATCTTAGTGATAACAAAGTATCTTTAAAATGCTATACAACTTCCTTAGATTTCACCAAATGAAACTCAAGTGTGGCATTTTAAAGACAAGACTTGACTACTTACCAACATAGAACGTAAATAACCACAGAATGGAAGCACCATGCACAACCAACATATAATTAGCTTCCAATTCAGACCCAAAAAGATCTTCTGTAAAATCTCAAGTGAGCCCCGGTAACACTACTTGGTGAGTACAATCCTGAGCCTCCGTTTCTTTAGCTCCAAAAAGCAGAGACAGAGACATCAGGGAGATGGTGTTATTGACATCCTTACTACATTGTGAAGACTGAGGTATTCTCTGTCTATGAAACCAATGGATTACTTAAATCTAGGGCTTCTACCTGGAACACAATGGCAGGAAGTGTAGTCTGATAGTAGCCATCCTGGTCTGCTTCTGGCTCTGTCTCTTTGCTCCAATCTTTCTTGTCTGTTTCCAGTGCCTTCCGAAGCCAGGCGATGATGTTGGACTACAAGTTTGGTATCATGGAAAAGGAAAGAACAGGCTTTGAGTTATAGCTAACATTTTCCCTACAGCACTTGTAGCTGCTGCACAGACCAGATGCAGTTTTCACAGCAACTCTTGCTCCCAAGCATAGAGCCTGCTAGAGCAGGCACCTCACATGCAATTCATTGGTGTGCAGTGCTCTATTAGTCTCTGCATTATGTGGACCACCAAAACCCTAACTGCAGATAACAAGGGGAAAGGACCAAGAAGGCTATGGATGAACATTATGCTGGAGGACAAAACTGGATGTTCAGCATCTGACAGTTAAACTGAGGCCATCAGAGAACAGCCTTGGCAAGCCAGTCATCTCAGGCCACAGCAAAACACAGGTCTCCAGACCCCAGGGGCCCTCAGTAGTGGCTTAGATATCATCTTACTGCACCTTCTATCTTACTGAGACTGTTATTGGTTGTGAACCTAATGTCAGACTGGCCCTTTGCTCCCCAAATTGCCACCCCACATTGGAACACAATGCTAAGGTGGTTAATACAACCTCAGACGTAAGGCCGTGCTAGTCAAATGGGTGGCACAGGTTGGCATCTCCAGCAGAAGAAACTCAGCGTATCTGTGACATACATTCAAATGTGCTTCAGAACCAGAGTCAGGTGTCCCTTCTTTAACAGAAAAGGACATGGCAAGACCCAGAGAAACAGCTTGTCTACTGAGGATGGTTAGCTCAGATGTCTCACCACATTTCAGACAACTAACCACTAAGCACTTTCTGGGACTGCAAGCCAGTTCTACTCACTGTGAGTGTTGACATGTATGTGTCAAGCAACTCAGAGACCACGTTTGAAGAGAGTAGAGGCTCCAGGGCACTAACGTCCACTTCTGGGGCCAGCTCCACATTCCCCATCATCTCTGCACTGCAGTAAAAGCCAGGTGTAAATGACAAACCACAACAGAACACTCTCAAGTAAATCTACATGTTTGGCTTGATGTATAAATGCACTATGCTAGAGATCTCATTGCTAACACTTCTACAACTCCAAAAATCAGGATGAACAGAGGTCTCGTGGAGAGCACAGAGTGAAAGGTCAAGGATGTGAAGGTCCCTGCATGATGTCACGATGCAGGCTGTATAGCCACTTATGTAATCTCAATATGGCCTCCTCACACTGTGAGCACACACTCAAAGGCAGGGAAGAATCAACACAGGTTTGTCTGTTTTAATTCACTCAATTTCCAGAGCTGAGACCAGTACCAGGCAAATAGGAATTGTCAAATTGTCACACTCATTAAGTAAAAAGATAATGGACAAGTACTATTATCTGGAACACTAAGCACTATCATAAGAGTCACTAATCCCTATGGGAAGGTAAGACTAAGGCAAGGGATAAATGTTAGTAGTGAAGGAAACATGTCTGCAAAGAAAAACATTCATTTTACTGTTCAGAAAGCAGGGAAACAAATGCTAAGTTTCAGAGAAAATGTATTTGTTTATGCAATTGGGTACAAAAAAGTCTAGGACACATGACACACTATGGTCTAGGTTTGGTGAAAGACTACAGAATGGAATAATGGAGACTATTTGGACCTCTGAACAGTGGTTAAACACTAAAGTTCTGGCCTGTACATGTAAAAGCTATAAAATAATGGGGCCAGTGAGATGGCTCAGTGCCTAAGAGCACTTGGTGTTCTTTCAGGGGACTGAGTTCACTGTCATTACCCATACCAGGCTGTTCACAATCATCTACAAGTTCAGTTCCTGCGAATACAACACCTCTGGCATCTGAAGGTACCTGCACTCACATGTACATAACCATATGCAATTACATACATAACTCCATGTAATTAAAATAAAAAGAAATCCTAAAAAGGTAACAAATAATGATCATCACCCATGCCTGACAATTTCATTCTATTCTATTCACTTTTCTATACTGAGGTACTCTACTATAAACAGTTAAAACCACACACAAAGTCAACCTCACTGTTAAAAGCATGCTTTCTTTCTCCACAGTACTAAGATGGACAAAAACAAAGACATTTTACAATATTACTTAATACTGTTTTTCTACCCAGAAAACCAAGCAAAGTTAAAATTAATAACCATTTTAATTACCTAATCTTAAAGTATCTCACAATAGCTTCCCAGTGACATTTTTTTCAAAGTCCACCTTCAACTACTTCATGCATAAAGTAGCTCATGTTCCTTCACATAAAGTAATACTCTCAAGCTGCAATGCAAAAGGAATAACTGATTTTTCTATATAGTCTACATATTTTTTCTATATAGTCTTGTTGCTATCTTTTTTTTTTTTTTTTTTTTTTTGAGATAGGTCTTGCTATTCTGCCCAGGCTGTGCTCAAACCATCTGTCCACTCAAGTCTCTTGAGTTTGGGAACTACAGATATGGACTACTAAGTACAACTGTTTATATTTGGATGATTAACTGTTGCAGTATATTGGTAAGGAAAACAAAACTTGAATTTCCTAGAGTCACATGCAACCTATAGAATGTTCTAGTACTACACCTGTCTCGGGAAATCACCATGAAGAAGGCAAGAATGCACAGTGAGCAACACAAAATAATACCATATCACATAACAGAGTGCTCAAGGCAGATAGCAGAGACCACATAGAAACAATTATACCCACATGAGAGGTGGTTCATCCTTAAGGGTAAGACCCCAACTGGCAGAAGAGAAAGACTTTCACAAACCAGAAAAAGGCACGGGTTCAAAATGCATGAGACTATTTGTAAACTGTTGGTCAGTGTGCTTTTAGGAGTTTCTAAATAAAAGAACACATAAGGCACGAAATCAGTTCTACCTGGTATAGGTATTTAGGACCCATGTCAAAAGGCTCACAATCTCATTGGCCTCAAGGTCCTCTGAAGCGAGGTCCTGCATCCGAGTGCTCAAGGCCTGGTGGTACATGCTCAGGAGGTTCTTAAAGATCTCATAGTGGGGAGGGAAGCACTGGACCATCAGGTTCTTGGCAATGATGAGATCGTCCAGGACATACTTCCTGATGATCTCCAGGTGGCGCACAAGCCACATCTTGTCAGACTCTCTGGTGTCTGCCTGTGTACCTTCGATTCTAGTTGTCACAGTTCTGTCCAAGATGGTAAACATTTTTTCCCTCCAGTTTTTGGGCCTCCCAGGAGGAACAAACCCAGTTTGCTTTTTTCGGTCCAGTATCCGCCTGTCAATTTTTTCTTCCCTTTCAATGATTCTGACCACAGAGACCAGCAAGGTGGGATCACGGCGGACAGTGACCAGTGATCTTTGCAGCACCATCCACAGCTGCTTAGCCAGTTCATCAGAGAGCATCTGTGTGCTACCAAAGTAGTCATGAATGAGGGTCATGTCCCGTTTATTCCCACTGTCCATGCGGTACTGCTCACACATGAGCCCATCCCGAGAGCACTCCAAGTCCATTAGCTTCCGGTGGGCCTGCAGGAGAGCCCCTTGCTCGATGAGATCTTGGGTCTCCCTCACAATCTCAGGCACTAGAGAAAGGTACAAGCTGACTCAGTGAAAACACATAGAGGCTGTGTGTACACTCAGAGATGACAACAGGTAAAGCAGGAGGCACCTGGCATCCATCTCTACTTGGATAGCTACCCTGACAGACCCTAATGGTTTTGACCTCTAGAGTCTATAAAAGGTTAACAACTCCCAGAAGGACTAAATGGAAATTAAGTAATTATGGTCAAGTTCAGCTACATGTGCTTTTACTAAGACATTTTCCTGAGCTAAGGTAAACTTCAGAAAAAAATCCCATGTTCCAAAGTATGATGATCCATGTTCTAATTATTGATGACTCTTTCTAACTCTTTTATAGCTACTATTGCTGATGTGAATTCTAGGAAATAAAGAAGATGACTACCTTCCTTTCTCCAATTTTCTATCCCTTTGGAATAGATAAGGCATTCAAAAGTGCGCGCGTGTGTGTGTGGGTGTGTGTGTGGGTGTATGTGTGTGTGTGTACATGCATATATGACATGTCAGAAAAAAATCACTAGGCATGCTCAGGCAGAGGAAAAGGATCAGAAAAAAAGATGAAAGGATCCTATGTAAAACAATCTAAAACCACAATTCTAATAGATCCCAACATCCAGGTTTATCAAATGCCCAAAACAGAATACAAAGTACACTACCAGCAAACCATTCAAAGGTTAAAAATACAAAACAAAACAAAAAACCATGCTTTTAACCAACTTAGTAAAGAAGAAACCCTAAGGGAAATTGAAAGGTATGCAGAAAAGAATGAAAATGAAAGTACAATATAACAAAACTTAGAGGATACAATAGAAAACATATTTCTAGAGCAGCTCCCACTAAGAAGATCTCAAACCAACAACCTAACTTTACAACTGAAAAGCTAAGAAGAAGATGGGCTAGAGAGACTGTTCAGTAGTTAAGAGCACTAGCTGTTCTCACACCCAGCACCCACACAGAGGCTCAGAACCACCACAACTCCAGTTACAGGGAATCTAATGCCCTTTTCTGGCTTCTGTAGGCCCTAGGCCCTAGGTAGTACACAAATGTACATGCAGGCAAACACATACACAAAATAAATCCCAAAAAAAGAAAGAAAAGCTTAAAAAAAAAAAAAAAGGAAGGAAATAATAGAAATCGGAATAGGTAAACAAAACAGAAAGTACTAATCAATAGAGATAACTTGGTCCTTTGAAAAGATTAAGGAAACTGGCAAACCCTTAGCTCAAATGGTCTAAGAAAAAAGATTTTAATTAAGACGAGAGTAGGAATATTATTGCTAATTTTTCAAAAATTGATTTATTTAAAAAGGCTGTAAGAGAAAAAATAAAAAACCAAATAACAAGAAACTGAAAACCCAGATCAAACAAATTCCTGGAAACAAAAGCCTATCAGACTGAAAAAGCAGTAAAAACAGCAGACTAAACACATCTCTCTACAAAGAAAAGCCATAACCCAGTCATATCACTAGTGAACTGGCCAATGTTTCTTGGCCAGTCAAGAGTTCATGACTGGAGACAGCTGACACGGATGGAGAATTCCGCATTCCCTAACACAGGTAACAAAGAGATAACTCGGGCCAGCCCGTCAGTCAGTCAGTCCCCTGCCCCCTTTCCAGAGCTCCCCCAGCTCTGGCTATCACGCTGACTCTTGCTCTGACTGACACTGCTGCCCTACTCTCTTCCACCAGTGCACTTACTCATCCTCGCTTAAGAACGGTTAGTCTCACAGGTCCTCTGTCTCAGGGCCTGCCTCTCATCCCACCCAGTCAGCTACCCCTCTCAACATGTACTGCTACCTCCTAATCACTCATCCACAGCCAAAAGCGGTGGCTCTTCAGCGTGCATCTGTGTTCCCACCCTGACACAGAGTCATGTGCTCTCCACTGGTCCTTATTTACATTCCTTCAACTGACCTTTTCCATTCATGTTCAGAGAATCAAACTTACCATGTGCCTCAAGACAGGGCTAAAAAGTATATTACAAAGAAATGCTAACCTGCCTCGGCACATCTCACAGAGCTACCAGTGTGTGAAGGAAAAGCAGGGATGTGTGTGGGACGGCACCATCATGAGTGTTCCGGCAGCCTCCGAAATCTTCCTCCAGCCCCCTCCACGACCCGCCACTCACCAGAGAATATGTTCTTGAGGTTCTCCACTGCAGCGGCCAGCTGGCTGTGCTGCACCACGGCATCTTTTACATCTTTGAGGCTCTCGATGGTGTTGATGCTCTGCCTCCAGTCCTTGCTGACGTCAGCCAGGGACTGCTGGATATCCTTGACATCATTCAGGGCATTGTGGAGCTGGCTCAGGCCTGTGCGTACCCCATCCAGCTGAGACTGGATTGCAGCCTAAAGGAGACACCATGCAGGTAAGCAGAGCCAATGACAGCCATATATGATTTCCTAAGGAACACATTTTTGCCAGGGAGAATCAAGTTCAGAAGGAATCATTTGGCTGGACCAAAAATCACCCAAGAAGAATTTAATGGACTCAAATAGAAACTTTTTGTTTCTTTCAAGACTGCCTGGGAACAGAACAATGCTAATTTTAAAGCTTCGATGATACTTAAAAGAATCATAAGCAGAGAGGGGGACAGTTTTATTCAGGAGAGCACAGGAAAGAATAAATTTAAAAAGGAATAAATTCTATCATATCCAACTCAGTAAACCAGCAAACCTCTATCTGGATAGGAAGAAAGCAATGACCAAACAAAAAAAAACAGGATAGCTAAAATGATCCTATACAACAAGAGAACTTCTGAAGGTATTACCATCCCTGATTTTTAAGCTGCATTAGAGGGTTATAGTAATAAAAACCACATGATACTGGCATTAAAACAGGTTGATCAAAGGAATCAAGTCAAAGACATAGACATAAATGCACACACCTATGGACACCCGATTTTTGATAAAGTAGCCAAAGATACACAATGGAAAAAAGAAAGCATCTTCAACAAATGGTGCTGGTCTAACTGGATGTCAGCATGTTAAAAAAAAAAAAAAAATAGATCCATGCCTATCACCCTGCACAGAATTCAAGTCCAAGTGGATCAAAGAACTTAACATAAAGCCAGATACATCAAACTAGATAAAAGAGAAAATAGGGAGTAGTTTTGAATACACTGCCACAGGAGACAACTTCCTGAATAGAATACCAATAGTGTAGGCACTAAGGCTGACAATAAATGGGACCTCGTGAAACTGAAAAACTTATGTAAGGCAAAGGACACCATCAATATAACAAAATGGCAGCCTACAGTGTGGGAAAGAACCCAACATCTGACAGAGGGATGATTCTCTTTGGAAGAGTTAGAACAGACTTTCTGTAAGAATTAAACCCAAATTCTAACATAGCAGATCCAGAAAGGAATGTGAAGAGCAACATTCTATCAAATGTCTTGTTAGGACCCAATTAAAAGAAAAGTCAATAAAATGATTCCTAATGGCATGTTGCTATACTCGTACACCAGACCTGGCATAATTGTCATCGGAAAGGTTTCATCCAGCAACTGATAGGAGAAGATGAAGAGATCCACAGCCACACATTAGGCAGAGCTTGGGGAATCCTGTGGAAGATGGGGAGGAAGGACTGTAGGAACTAGAGGAGTCAAGGATACCACAAGATTACAGCCCACAGAATCAACAAATCAGGGCTCATAGGGGCTCACAGAGACTGAACCAACAATCAGGAACCTGTATAAGTCTGACCTAGGTCCTATGCATACTTATTTTGGCTGAGTTCTTCTGGGACTCCTAATAGTGGGAGTGGGGACTGCCTCAGACTCTTTTGCTTCCTTTTGGGACCCTTTCCCTCTTTCTGGGTTGGCTTGTCCAGCCTTGATATGAGAGTATATGCCTAGTCTTATTGTAATTTGATATGCCATGTGTGGTTGAAATCCCTGGGAGGCCTGCTGCTTTCTACAGGGAAATGGAAGAGGGGTGGATTTGGGGGAGAAGGGATGGGGGGAGTGTTGAGAGGAGAGGAGGGAAGGGAAACTGTGGTCAAGAGATGATATATGAAAGAAGAATAAAAAAGGAAAAAAAAAAAGGTTTTAAAGTGAGGCAAAATAACAACAGAATTCCAGATAAATGAATAAAAAAACTCTTAACAAAAAATAAGGGTCTCATGATTTCATAAAATACTACTGGACATAAAGAGGCAGACAGGTCCTGATACTTTAATATGGTTTATTCAAAAATCCCACTATTATCAATAAGTCATCTAGACTAAAACTCAATAAACAAACCTCACTGTTAAGCTATACTATAGATCAAATAGACTTAAGAGATCGTCTATACACAGGCATGCCTAACCTATTGGCCCTGCAACATGTTACCTACTGAGTTTGTGATCAACAACTACACTTTAGAACTTTTTAAAAAATCCCATGTTTTAAGTATGCTTATTGTATGTTGGGCTGCATTCATAACTACTCAACACAACTAATTCTACAGAATATTCGATCTAATTTTGAGTAATAAAACATTTTTCTCATTAAGCTATGGAACTTTCTTCAACATAGATAACATTTTAGTTCACATAACAAAAACAAAATTCAAATAATTTCTTAAATATTATCAGATCACAACAAATAATTTCTTGTATCTTATATCACATTATAATGGAATAAAACTAACAATCAAAGACCATAGAAACTAAAAAAATAATTGGGAGACTGAAAAAAATTCTCTTGAATGATCAGTAGGTCAGTGAAAAAAGTCAGGGTAGAAACAACAAAATTCTTAAGTGAAAATGAAGGCACAATTTACCAACACCTTTAGGACACAGCTAAGGCTATTTTAAGAAAAGCTAATAGCTTTGAATGCTTACTTGGGAAATGTCAGAAATCTCAAACAAAGCTAAGTATCTATTTCAAGATCTTAGAAAAACAAAAACAAGAGAAATTCAGGAACAGCAGACAGAAAAACAGAACAAACAAACAAACAAACAAAAAAATAAAGATCAGGACAGAAATTAATGAAATCAAAATTAATAATAAATACCAATGAAATCCAAGGTTGGGCGCTGGTGGTAACTTTAATCCCAGCACTCAGGAGGCCTGTCTTGAAAAACCAAACCAAACAAACAAACAAACAAAAAACCCAATGAAATCCAGAAGTTCATTAGAGAATAATGTTAACTTGACACAAAATAGAGTCATCTGAATGGAGGGAACCTCAACTGAGAAAAAATGGTAGTACATGCCTTTAGTGCATCCCAACACTTGGGAGGCAGAGGCAGGCAGATCTCTGTGAGTTTGAGACTAGCCTGGTCTACAAGAGCTAGTTCCAGGATAGGCTCAGAAGCCACAGAGAAACCCTGTTTGGAAAAACCATAAAAAAAGAAAATTATCTCCATAAAATAGGACCATAGGCAAGCAGGGTAGGTCAGAGCAGAAACTGTCTGTCCCATGATTTCTTTGGTCCCTACCTTTAGCCTGGCCTCCACAGAAGCCTTCTTCCGAGCCTCCCTTCTGCGATACTGCTCCACTTTGTCCAGCTGGTCTGGGCGCTGAAGCATCCCAGCAACCCTCTGAACTGCTGTTGCAACAGCCTCCAGATCTGTCTCCTTCATGGTCAAAAAGCAGGCAGAATCTCTGCACATATCATACCACAGGAACACTATGTACACAAAGGAGAGGGTATGTTAAAAAGGCTGAAGTGAGGCATCAAACTTACCATGCAAAGGTCATGTGATCACAGTGCAACTAGAGAAGAGTTTCAGCACACCAGAAATAAAAGCTGAGCTTGGGTCATACATGCCTTAATAAAACCACAAATCTTCGCACCTCAAGTGCTGGGAAGGTTTTACCTTAACAGAGAGAAGCAGGGATATCTCACAGGCCGGAGAGAGGCACACACAGAGGATATTTATAAAGGACTTAAGACTATGTCAAAAGCATCTCTTTTTATCTCTGGAGCTGTTACCCCATTGCTAGCCACACCCAGTGCTAGTCACTGGAAGACAATGACTATTACATACACCTCAGCAGCCCAGTGGGCAAACATGAATCCTATGACTTCCCCTTAGCACTGCTTTGGGTACCCAAGATTCCATTTCTTATTTTTTAACACCTTTAAAATAAAGTTAAGACAGAAAAAAGGTACATATTCTCCTCACTCAAGTGGTTTGTTCCCCTAAGCACAGATGTTCAGATACTAGGTCAGATACTAGGTCAGGCAGCCTTTAATCTGAGGGCCTCGCAAAAATGGGATGTCAATAACATTGCTTCCTTAGATTTCAGCTACTCAATATTCACAGATGTGATAAACAAACAAACAAACAAAAACAAAAAACAAAACCTTTCTGGAGCTTTTCAGTCTCCATTCCCATGTAGTCTCAGAAAACCACTAAAATCCATTGTACAGTTTCAGGCATGTAACTTCTTCCGTGTATCTCTGTCTTTTTGCATTTCTCATTCAAGTGGCACACCATTGCAAATACTATCTTTCTTCATCTTCTGATTATTAAATTACATATACGCAAATAGAAAATCCTAGCAGGCAATAGAAATAAGATTCTAGAGGCTACCGCTTCTAACAGCACTGTTTCTATTTCTTTCTAAATTGAGATTCCATTATATACATAATTGCAATTGCAGGTTTTTGCTTTCTTGCTTTGGTTTGACATGTTATCCTCAGCATTCCCAAAGCAATTAAAGCTGGCATAAATTCTATTTACAGGGCTAGGTATTAAACTCAACATCCAACCACTCCCCAGTGTTACCCACTCCAGCTGACAGGTGAAAGGCAGTCCAGTGGCAATGGTGCAAGCCAGATACCAAAGGAAAGCTGGCACAACCTTTGCAAGAAAGAATCCACTCATAAACCGGAACGAAAACCAGAAGGTTAAAAAAATGACACGGGATCTCCATCAAGCCTGGTTCCCATGGCAGCCTGAGGACCCTCAGAGTTCAGGCCACAGGGGCAAAGGGGAACTAACTCTGAGGGTGGCAACAGCCCCGCCGCAGGGGCGACGCTGGTCAAGGGCAGACCCAAACACGCCCTAGCCCCTCACCAAAGGCCGCCAGAAACGTCGGCCAATGGGGTCCCTCGCCAAGGTACAAACCCGCTAAGGGGCACAGCGTACCAGGTCCCTGCGCCCCGCCCACAGCGCAACGACCCTAGCAGTCAAAACTGAGGATCCTCACCGTCCGTGCAGCGGCTTCCACCTCCAGGAGGCCGACCGGAAGTCATCGTGGCCACTTCCGTTTCCGGCGTTGGGACGGAAGGACGGGACCAGGGTGCCTTGAAGGTTGTCCCTGTGCAGGCAGTCCTTGGGTGGACTTCTTGGGAACTTGTTCTGCCCTTGTGCCACGGACTCAGAACGACCAGAGATCGCGGATCCTGGCCCGGCTCAGCCCTGGCCCGCCTCTCTCTCCTAATGTAGCACCTGCTGCACCCGCCCGAATTTCAGGATTCACCTCTCGTGTTGCCCTCGCTCAGTTCCTCTCCTTAGTCACCTCGATCTCTCCACGATTCTCCATCTCTTTACTATGTCGTGTGTTCAAAGTTGCACTACTTGTACTAAGTATATTGGTTTCTTCTTGCTGTCCTTGCCCTAGCCTGTCCCCAGAGGTTTCTGACAGCTGGTAAATTCTGGCGTTCAAGAAGACAACGGAGGCACACAGAGGCTGGGGTGCTACTGATAGCTGTTAACATAGCCCTTAGAAGCTACAAACAAAACAAAACAAAAAAAACAGCTGGCGGAATTCCTCCAGCTGAAGGAAGCAGGGAAACATCAGGTTGCTTTGGCAACTTGGAATAATCATAAACTTTTTACAAGTTCCTACATCTACAGATAGAGAGACTTTCCCACACTAGTGTAAACTTTTAGTATTTTTTGGAAGGTTTAGGTTCTAATTAAGTTCTTCTTTGGGTAAAGACTCATCAGGTCTGACAACTCCGCCCTGATGGGTCTTATTTTTTCACCTCTTCTGCATACGCTCTTCTTGAGTAGCACACCTACCCATAACACCGCTTCAAAGTCTGAATCTCCCAAACGAATGGATGATAGGGCAGATCTTCAGTAAAGGAAGGAACAATGTAAGTAATCTGTCATAACTACAATTCAAATGATGTGATTAAGTCAGTCTTTTGAGGATGCAGATCCTTCCTTAGTGCATGAGTTGCAATTGAGAAAGTACTCTGGCCCCTTAGTTTATGATGTAGCAGGAAGAACTTCAGCATCATTAATGTTTAACTGCAAAATTAGTAGGCGCAGCTACCAAGGCAAAGCTGTAGTTTTCCTTGGTTAGCTTATATAGAACTCCAATCTACTGCTGCCTGCTCTATAGTGGAGAGTTTGGTGATGGTGTTCCCTAGCAGATTCAGTTAGCCATCCTAGTTAGAGGTGAACTGCTTCAGTAAATGACCCAACTTCTGTTTCCTTAGAACAAACAAATATTAAGAACCTTTCTTGATTTCTGTTTTTGGCCAGCCATATGGTGACAGAGCTCAGGAAATACTTGGAGTCACTGTGTGAAAATACCAAGCATACTTTTGAATATATAGGTGGATCCATAAGGAGAGTAACCAGGGCCAAAGTATGGAAAGAAACAAGCAGTGACTAAGAGTTCTTCTTCCCTGAAGCATGATGGTGAGTGTCTCAGAAGCCACTTTACACTCACCCAGAGCAAGGAAGGAGGCATAGGTTCCAAGTAAGTAGAGGACAGGTAGAGATTCCCTCTGGAAACCCAAAAAATCAGCTCAGGGTTTCCTTGGTGAAAGAGTGGGTCCAGAAGCAGTCTATCCTGGGCATGACTAGAAGGTTGCATAGCTTGCTGGGCCCTAGAGTAGGGTAGGCTACTAGAGACACTTCACATGGGACAAATTCCTCCTTCTCAGTCTGAAAAGTAGCACTGACAAAGAAAACCCAGAAGGGCTCTTGAGCCCCCTCAATCTCAACAGAAATGAATTCTGATGTGACCAAGGTCTATTCTTGTTCTCAGAGGACAGAGCTCTTACTTAGCTACAGGTTAGATGTTATCAAATATGCACCAAGGATATAGAATTGTAGATTCCAAACAAGTAGAAAGAAGAGAGAGAAGGAAGAGAGAGAACAGAGTATTCCAGTGAGCAGAGGAAGTGGGGGAAAGGAAGACTTGATTATACATAATGGGAAGTAGAAATGTGCTCAGATGAGCACAAGTAAATGAGTTAATCATGGTGAGACTGTTTGTTACAAGAGAAAATTTAAACTGTTAAACAAACAAGCAAACAAACAAAAAAGGTTTGGCAGTGGAGGAAGTTTCTCACAATGGCCAATTAAGCCTGAAAGAATTTGTGGGTGGTGGCGTTAGCATCAAATTGCCTATGTTTTGTCAAAAGTCACAGACAGAGACCGTTGAAAAGATACAAAATGCACAAGACATAAAGAAAAAAGGATTAAAATGTGGTAACTACCCTTGGATGAGCTGGGCGTTGGTGGCACACACCTTTAATCCCAGCACTCGAGAGGCAGAGGCAGGTGGATCTCTGTGAGTTTGAGGCCAGCCGGGTCTACAGAGTGAGTTCTAGGACAGGCTCCAAAGCAATACAGAGAAACCCTGTCTCAAAAAAACAAAAAGCAAAAATATCCTTAGATGAAAAGAACCCTCTGGGAAAAAAAAAAAAGAAAAAGAAAAAATAGAAAGAAAAGAACCCTCTGTCATGCCTTCCTCACTCTTCACAGGCAGTGTTAGTCTGGGGTGTCCTGAAGGCATGTGAGGGTCCCAACCCTCAATGAGAGCTGAGGAGGGCTTAACCCCAGCCCTCAACTCCAGCCTTTCTACTTTTATATATTATTCCATTCTGCTGTCCCAGAATGTAAACATTCTCTGAAGGAAAAGGCACACAATCTTACACTAAGTTCATGAAAACATGAAGTTTATTTTACACAAGTTTTGCAAATTTAGTACAGACCACAGTATGTGAAATGCATGTGGATTCTCTATTAAAACAAAGCATCAAGAAAACAGCACAGAAAGTATTGCATTGTAGTGTATCTGTTTAAAGTTTGTTGGGCCAGTCTAGATCTTGAGGACTTTTTTCTAGTAGAAACTACAAATATAAAGGACACTTTGTGTTAGTTATTCCTTCTTAGCCCATCTCTCATTATATTTGATTTTGATATTTTTAGCCAAATAGGCAAAAGCTAGATATCACAAAGAGTGTGAGCCTGTAGTTAGTGTAGATGGTGAAATCCTAAAGCAGGAGTAACCTCTGCGCACCTTCTATGCAAGCTAGTTGACCGGGGATTTGTGATGAATGAGCAACGTAAGTGTAGATGTGGGCGATTTGAGCATCCTTGGACAGTGCTGGCACCAGGTATCCAGCTTGCCATGTGATGTGGTGTCTCCCACACACAAAATCTGAAGAACTGACATCTAAGTGCAGAATTCAGTGTACAAAAAGCCTAAGCTGCAGGGAAACCCAGGTTCCAGTTGAGCTGCCCACATGCCTCTCCACACTTGGTAACCCATCCCAGCATCGGTGCAGATGAAGTACAGCTAAAAGGTTCAGAGTACCTGAGCAGAGGACATACAGCCTGTAGCAGTGAAGAGCATGGCTTTGTTTGGTTACATAGCAAAGTTATGGAAATCTAGCTAAAATTGGTAAATATATAATAATGCATTTTATTTTATTTTGTTTTAATTGAGAAGGGTCTCATGTAGGCTTGAACTGCTGATCTTCTGCTTCAGCAGTACACATCACTATGCCTAAATATGTCTCTGAATTTCCTATTTTTGGACTCTTTTCTCAGGTTTCTTCTACTGGCTCCAGGATGCTTGGGAAATGTTGTATGCATTGGTGCATAACAGTTTAATGTGTTCTCTGCTCCTTGTGTAGGAAGCATATAGGTTACTGAGTCTGGCTGAGGATAGGAACATAGCTAATCACTTTCAGAGAGAAGAACTAGAATGTCAGACACCTGAGTAGTTTGGGCATGTCCTGTCCTTGGAATCTGGGCATGTGATTAGGACAGGGAGTGTTGAGGAAGACTCGGATTCTACCTGTTGTTATTCATTAATACCCACAGTATAAGCTATGCTTGGCAGAAATATGTCAAGTGGGACTGAGATAAAGTGAGGAAAGGAGGGAGACAGGTGGCTGGGCACAGGGTACAGAGCTTGGACACCATCCTGACTTCAGGCTTTAGGTAATGTAGAAGCTGGAGAGAAGGTATGAGCATGCCTCACACCTGTGACAGTACAGCTCCTGTCTTGCCCCCTTTGAAAAAGACTTTGTGAACTGAGGGACAGAGAGAAAGCAAATCCCCAGGCTCTCATAGCAGGTATTCTCAGTTCTAGACCTTCAGTCGTATCCCTGTCCCACTGTGAGTCCTCTTGAGAGTCAGACAGCTCAAAAGCTGGGCAGAGGACCTGAGCCTACCCACCTAACCTGATTTTAACAAGGCAATAGGTATTTTCCAGATACCTTCTTCACTAAGACAGTGGCTGAGCAATGGTATCTGGGGCCATAGATGAAGGAGAGAAAGTCTGCATTGAAGAGACTCCCTAGTAGAATTAGCTGTGGGCTCCAGAAAGCTCATTAGCAAGCATCCCTAAGACATCAGAGGTGAATACTCATCCCCCAATGAAGACTATCTGACCCATACAGGCAAGCAGAGCACAGCAGGCTTTTTCCTGTTCAGTTGACCCTGTGCTAATGGAGCAGCGTTTCTGGTCTGAGTCCTCCCCTATAACACTCTCCACTACTCCACCAGTCATAAGTCATTTTGCCAGTGGCTCATGGTAACCCTTCCTTTCTCTTTTATATTTGATACCCACATTTCCTACAATCAGAGTACATTGCCTTTATAATTCAAAACAAATGCTGGCTGCCTTCCTGCCCCTAAGTCTCCCTAGGCTAGGAACTGTTGCTCTTACCTGAAAGCCCTGTAGACAACAGACAGGGACAATGCCTCCTCAAGAGTGTGGCTTCTCCCTTTTCTGTATGCTGTGTTTCCCTAGTTCCTGGCCTGGACACTGTAACTTCCACCATGTGATGTGTACAGGGACACAGGTACATAAACTATATTCAGAAATCCACAGAAAACACCAAATGGGATGGGATGTTTCCCTGACTACCACTACGCAATGTGTGGCTTCAGATCTCCTCAGAAGCCTCAGAACGCCTGTTGCATACAGGCAGGAGATGTAGCAAGATTTGGCACCAGGGACACATCACTTTGACACATCAGTTGGGGTTGCCCAGCATAAAATACTATAGGCTACTTTCTTAAACACTTTAATTTCA